CGACTTCAAAAAAGGAGGACGTTCTCAATACGACAGTATTTTTTTATGTTTGTTACCTCAGAACTTTTGCCTGAGTGAACCGATTTTGATGATTCTATTCTATTTTTATTTAAAACCTGGCGCTTCCCATGTGGTCCCATACTGATTTCATTGGTATTGGATCTCGGGCTCCGGAGATGATTAAGGAACTGAAAATCAATTATAAAATGAATAAAGAGCGAGATATTTGAAGACTTTGGTTTTGTTTTTCGTTAATAAAAATAGACTTGTGTAATGCTAAGAAATGGCATCTTTATAAGTTGAACCAACTTACCCGTCGGCGTTGTTCTATTGAAACAAAGGAACTAAGTAGAAAATTGATACCAGAAATAAGGTTAGCTTAGGTCGAATAAAGTAGTAGTTTTACAGCATCATAACAATATAAAATAACGGCACATAATTATTTAATATAGTTTGTAATTTTATTGTACCTTTATAAGTCAAACAATATCTTTCCAAAGAGTTTATGTAAATAAATTATACATGAGGTTATTGTTATTTATTTTTGATGTCACGGTTGGCGCTATAACCTGTGCAGTCTGTGACAGTGTGATTGCCAGGCATAATCCTATATTCTCATATGGCAGAAGCCACACAAAATTTTTGGGTCTCGTAATTATACTAAATCTTTCAAGCTATCGCGTAACACGCTCTGCATAGTCGTATAACGATTTAAGAGAGAAATAAACAACGAACTAAAACCGCCGAGTGGTTCCAAAAAAACATAGAATCATAGTTCCATAACAACACACTGTATCGAAGAAACAACAGCATAAATGTATAGTAATATAATTCATTCGCTCGCCTGTCCTCGCAACGTTGCTAACCGCACATCTGGCAAGGGACCAAATGATACCTGTGTTACAATTTTTCAGAATAAACTCAACCGTTTGTATTGTTTCTTTATCACACTAGCTGGTTCGGCAAACGTTGTTTTGCCATATAAATGGTATCTAGAGGAATCGGAACGCACGCATAAAGTTTTTGACAGGTTACAGGTAGTTGGGACAGACATAGTTGACAGGTTGACAGGTACAGTTGGTATGGGAAAATGAAATTGCCGCTATTTCGATTTTCCATGCAATTTTTTCCATAATTTCTCATCGTTTAAACCTTCCCCAAATATTTCAAAACCAAAATTAGCCAAATCGGTCCAGCCGTTTTCGAGTTTTAGCGAGACTAACGAACAGCAATCCATTTTTATGTATAAGATAAAAGATGTGTCGCCAGGTTAGAGTATACTTCCCTTCCATCACCGATGGTAGCAAGTATTAATAAATTAAGTAGTAAGCTCATTAACGCGGGTTCGTTACCCAGCCTAACATCACCGATCACAGTCTAGTATTATGTGACTTTATGCGGCAGTTAACTTTGAGTCACGTAAACTTTCTCAATATTAGAACAAGGTTAAAATTTCCACACTCTTTCAACACTAGAGCTTTACTTGAATTACTTTTCAACTTATTCACTGAATCGATGAAGGTTTATTCTTCGTCTTCGCAAACACGCCCACTACTCGATAAGAGCTTGCTGTGAAATGTATGACAGGTACCGTTTTTTCTATCAAACGTCGAACTCGTCTCTGCTTATCTGCCTCTTTCGCGTGACTGCCATCGGGTGAATTTTCGTAAAACACACGCTAGTCACGAAAACGAAATGGCCCTCAAATAATTTCTAATAGAACTAAATAGTAATAAAACTAATAGAATCCGGTAATTTCGAAACTACGTGTGCGTCAAAAACATTCTGTACATTCTAGAATGTGAACGAAAGGCTTCTCTTTTAGACGAATCTAATGTAAATTGTGCATGTAAACTAGGTTTGTAAGATCGGTTTGTTAAATAAAATGTCTACGGATATATTTTCACTTTGATCAATGATCATAAAATTTTTACGTATCTTTCTTTTTTACGTATTTAATGGGTTTTTGTTTGTGCCTTGTGTTGTTATATTAAGTAAAAAAAGCAGACTTGTGAACAACGTGTTTTATTGAGAGTTTTTCTTGACCGTCTCAGTTTAGCACAAAGTACCATATAAAAAGGAAGAGGAAGTTAGTGTTGCTACTTATTTCTAGTGTTGTGTCAATCGACAAAGAAGGGCACGATTTATTATTACAACACCTTGTTTACATTCTTCACGTCGCAACTGCTTAAAAGAAGATAGGTAATGATACTAATAAAAGATGCTTCTTAATGATCTAGGTCAAAGTAGTCTCCTTGTGATGTGAGTATGATGATAATGAATATATAAGCAAACAGCCCTCTACTTTTCGTCAATTATATGTCAGTTTCTACGCAATGAATTCGCAATTAGTTTAGCTCAGAAGGGTCTAGAATTTACTTCACTTATATGTTGTAATGTTAACAAAGCAAACGAACGGAATCCTTTGGTAGCAGCGTCACATGACTAACAGATAAATAGTTAAAGCGTAAATATTTGAATAAGACGCTAGGTTAACCGGCCATTTCCTTAGAAATATTTTTAATAATTTTTTTCGCCGTGATAATGAAAGATCAGAAAATTTTAATGAATAAGATGAAAATTTATGAAATTAAGAAATACAAATTGGATGCGTATAATAAATAGGTACTTTTACATGTTAAATTCCGAGTTTGAGATTGGAATGTGGTTCATTCCAATATTAAACTCGGAGGATGATCGTTAAAAAAAAGTGAAGAAAAAAGAGTAAAGGATATCGCTGCCCCAAGTTGATGTAATTTTGTTAATAGCTTTATCGGAAATTTATGTACGTAGATAAATTGTCGGCTACAGATTATAAGAAGGGAACCTACAGATCCTCCATTTTTTATTCTAAACGTCATATTTCTCATAACTTTAGAAGCATGCATCTTTCATATGTGGATAAGCTTTTTTGTTGGGGGTTTGATTCTGATACAAAATTGTTCCATTTTTTATATTTCAAATGGGATATTAGGAATTTTTAAAAGCCTAAGCTATTATTATTATATTTATTCATACTTCCCTCCTTTACTCTGGAAGTTGGTTCAAGAATCCAGTTAGGGCCGTATTTAAATGTCACGCTGGCTACTAAACATTTGTCCACACTACGACTGTTTATTTAGGCATCGTCATAGATTTGCGTTAGCGCTCCTGCCACTCGGAGATACGGGAGTTTTTGCTTGAAACCAATATTATTTTTCAATTTCGTATCTTTTTCTTAGGTACTTTTTCTTTTCACCATTTAAATAGGTACCAAACACCCATCCTATATAACGTTGTTGTCATTTTTAAATTTGCAATGATTTATGTATTTTATCATTATCATGAAAACGTATTGAACTACTCAGCCAGCTTCGATTGGCCTTGCTTGGACAGGCGAATCTGAGATACGTAAAATTTTCCATATCACTATCAACCGAATGTAAACAATGACTACTTAAAAAAAAACACGCCCCTGGTGTTTTATTGAATCTTATATTGACAGTGAACTTAGTTGCAAGTTTTCTTATTTTCTATATATTTACTTAAACTCTCTGAATTGATCGGAATGATCAGAATGATCAATTCAAAGAGTTTAACCATCACTTTGGCAACATACAATAACATTTGAAAAGCCATTTGACAGCTGATTAGTTAACTTCTACGAGGATCAGGCCCGGTTTCTGAAACACTGATCAACGTAGATGTCAACTAATCAGTTGTCAAATGAATTTCAAATTACGTTAAACTCCATCCTTTTGGTACCTAAATTGTAAATTGAAATCAATTTGACAGCTGATTCGTTGACATCTACGTTGATCAGTGTTTCAGAAACCGGGCGTCAGTGTTTCAGAAACCAAGCATTAATCTTACATTGTCAAAATTAGTGAACCGGTGGTAGTTTTCTGACGTACAATCAGAGTTTAAAACAAGCATAATATGTTAAATAAAGAAATCTTGAGAGGTAAAGCAGTTACGTAACCAAATAAATTAAAGCAATTATTATAATGTACATATTTCTTTAAGCTTTTGAAGCATTTATGATTTATTCATATAGGCGGTAATGGATTCTTTTTGTAATACTTAATGTTAATGTCCTGTAATAAAAAATTCTCAATCGTTATCACTTGTGTCATTTTCTCCTAGCCTTAATTTGCGTTGCTTTAGAATAGCTAGTTATTCTTGTATTCTGATGACGCTTGCATAGAATACGTGAAACCACACAGATCTTGACCAATTAATGGTGCTTCATACTAGAACAGGGCGAGCATCAAACACACGATTCGCCTTACTTTACATTGGCTGATGTTTTTGCCGTCTGCAGACTATTAAAGCTTCATTGAACCATTACAATAGCCAAATCAGTTGTGACGTTTCGTGTAACGTTTTATCTTATCGGCTTATATTACACATGTTTATAGCAGTACAATTTAATAATAGTTTACACGACTCGGTTACACATGCCATTATGACAAGGAATGGAAAATTCCTCGCAGATTATCACCCTGTTTCGCAGAATATCAAGTGGGTTGTTTCAATGCAGGTGTAAAACTAAATATATAATATATTTACCATTGTAAAGTTAATAGTAACGAAATTCTGTTAATTCCGTTATTAAAATATTATAACAGGATATACTTTTATAGGATTGACGGTTATTATGTATAATTAAATTTGGTGTTTAAGTTTTTCTTTCGCCATAAGTCAAAATGTTATTAAACTGCGATACCTGAATACTTACTTTATCGTCGATTAATTCACGATACTTCCAACCTGAGTTAGATTTTAGTCTAGAGTCTAGTCAGCCGAAAGGTTAAGAGTAGCCTACATATTTTGATTTAAAATGATGGGAATTTAACTGCACTTGCAGAAGTTCTTTTCACTTTAACGAAGACAACCAACTTGATATTTCAAATCTAGTAGGTTGTAAACGTTTTTGATAGCTATCATTCTGTATTAAAATTTGTACAAATACCTACCATATGTATATACTGTATTTCGTATCTTTCTCTGTGTTGCAGTTTTCTCTAAAGGACAATGCGAAACCGGACAGTACCGCTTCCTCGCCAAGTCGGGTGGCTACGCCTGGGTCCAGACCCAAGCCACCGTCATCATGGACAAACAACAGAAGCCAATAAGCGTCGTCTGCGTAAACTACGTAATCAGGTAGGTCTAGCTTTAAAATTCACAGAGCGCAATCGGATTATATGTTTCGTTTTCAGCGTTTATGTTGTTTTTGTTGTGAGGAATTATCTATCAGATGCAAGAAGTGGATATAAGGTAAGCCATGATTTTACATTACCCTTTTAGTTTAAGAAGTAATAATCAGATTGAATAAAATCATTGGTCTACCGCTGTTAGCTCATCACTACACACTTTTTGCTGGAAATCGTTTTCATTCAGACTTATTAAATAGGAATCGAGTAATTAAATAAAACGCCCGTGTTTATTACAAAGAGTGGGAACGTTATCATCGTTAAAAGCCTACGTTACATTGTGCCCGCCGAAAGCAATTATGTCACGCAAAATGCCATGATGATAAAGCTTAATTAAGATTTCATTTCGTTGTTCCATTGGACCCATATATATATATATATATATATCACTATAATTTTGGATCAAATTTTATTTGTTATAAACGTTTTATATCAATTGTTTATCAATAAATCTATTTAGGATCTATAATTTAATTCTAAAGCAAGAATTCCAAGCACATTATAGCAAGTACCTTTATGAAACATATTTGATTTCTATTTTATTCAGTTATATAATCGATAAATTACATGAATTTAATTTTTGGTTATGTCTCGCTTTAATAATTCAATCATGTTGCAATTAAAGTGACTTAGAAGTTTATTGGCAGGTCTGTAAGCAGTGCTATTTTTAATCAAGTTATGCCTTTTAATATGTATACATATTAAAACGTATTTAATATGTATACATATCATGTATACATAATATGTATACATATTAAATACATCATTTTTAACTGTCACTTGCTGGAACCCGACACTAGATTTAACTTGTCACTGTCGGTAATAGTCCTCGAATTTTGTCATCTGTGCCTCATACAATCATAATCTTAGCTCTAGTAAAATTGGTTTGTCATACGATAAGCCCATCTCACAATTTCGTGGGTCTTTAGAAATTGAGGCGGCTTCCTTTGAAAATCATGATTTATATCCGCGTTTCGAATTAGATCAGCTTTGTGCTGATAAATAGCTTAAAGTCGACCATTTCTAGGTAAAATTCCGAAATTGAACAACAAATTTATTTCCCTTTTTCATACCTTTATAATATTCTTTGTACAAATGCTATCACGTTCATATTATTTAAAAAATTATTTTTACTCTTTTTTATATTTTCCTGTCTAATTCAAAATTAGGAATAATTTTGTTTAATTTTATCTGTTTGTTAAGAGCACTTTTACTATTTTTTAATAAAAATGAATGAATGAATGAATATACTTTATTGCACACCAAAAATAAAACAAACAAAAATTAAAACTTAATGTAGAAGTAATGGGTACAATGGGCGGCCTTATTACTAAGAGTAATTTCTTCCAAGCAACCTTTAAGAATCTGTAAAGAATCTGTTAAATATTAATACATTGTATTTTTTTTATTTTAAAAGTAATTTCTTAAATTCTTTCACCACCCGAACTGCCGATTAGCGACAAAGACCTTTTCCCGATAGCTGATAAAGATATCCCGTAATGAAATGGTCTTAAACCGTTTCCAAATGCGATTTGGCTGGCAAAGATGGCGTCTCATTAAAGAGGAATTTTAAAAATCTCCCCCAACTAAGATATGTTACCAAAGAAAAGAGTTCTTCAATTCTACTTTTTTATCTACATTTGATTTATTAATCCCATATTTATCTCAAAGTAAAGCGAAGTAACAAGAGTCTAAATGTGTCCTCCACCTCTTGTATAGTGATATATGTTATAGAGTTTCGAAATACTAAATGTTCAGGTTCCTTCACGATGTTTTCCTTCTGAACACGTGATAAATCAGCACTTAAAACTGCAATTAACAATTTCGTTGGTGCCGAACCAGCACTCAGAACCAGAACTTGAACTCAGGCTACTCTCGTATACTAATAGTTGAAAAGGAGCGCCCGGACACAGCTATCACGACGTGACGCTTAGCTTCTATTTAGACAATGTTAGAATTTAATTTCATAAACCAATCAGAGTTCTTACTCAATAGGCCCATAACCTTTAGATACGTGGACATAATCCAGTTTCCATGTTGATACTAATATAATCCAATTTGCTGTTTGAATTTGACTAGTAGTAGATCTAAACAAGAAGCAAATGGAAATTTCTAATAGTTGCTTGCAAGTTAGACTATTTCTTACTTGCAAGCAACTATAACAAGTTTGAGCAAGTTTATAACTTTCATTAGTAACAATTAAATAATAGTTTGATATTACACTTTTTTAGACTAAGACTTAACTTTGACACTTAACGTGTCAAAGTTAAGTCTTAGTCTGAGCATATAGTTTGATCGCAAATGTAATGATCATTCTTTAAACTTAAACACATTCTCTGGTTCAAGATGTCCAATCCACAATTTGCGTTTGTTTCCAAAGCGTAATCGATCGAAATCTGAAATAAACGAGAGCGATAACACGCAATAAGTCACAATACTGAACCGTACGACAATCACGCCACTACCCACTATTACACCGACTGACCCCTCGCCTCGAGTAGTAACATATTCTATCGCATCACGAGAACCAACGATATGATAGCTTGTTACTTGTCGTTTCGTACGGAAATATTCGTGGGACCGAAAGTGTTGGAGCGAGATGTTATGTCATTGTTTCTGCGCCGTCTCGACCGCACACCGACTTCTTGGGCCAATTTTGCCTTATGACGACCGCGTGGAACTTGGACATTGCTCGAGATTTCGACGCCAAGTATTCCGATACACATTGTTTCTGCGCCGTCTCGACCGCGACGCTTCGAAGCGTGGTGCGGATGTGTTCGTGATCAATGAGACCTTGAACCGGTTTTTGGACAGGGCCGACTCCCCTCGTAAAACAATAATAATGGACGCTTATTTACTTACATGTTGTCGTAACATCTAGATAAAGTTTATATGAAAAACAATTGTTCATGAGTAAAGTGTTATTTGTTGTCTTCTCTGTGAGCATCTTCCATTTTTCTCGCTCATTTGTTTTATTTTACTACGCGATGGCTTTTTTATGGTGTTTTCTTAGTAAGTTTTTTTTAAATGTCAGAACGTAACAAGCGAGCTAACGGTTCACCTGTGATAAGCGATAACCGCCACCCATTGGCATTTGTAACAAACGAAGGTCGCAGGTGCGTTGCCACCATAGAATAAAGTGGGCCCTGGCTACCTCACTCACCAGACGAAACGCAGATGTATAACACTTCCATTTCACGTTAGTCTTCTGTCAGGTCGTATTACTCGCACTTTCCCGGAGAGGGACCTGCCCATTCGTGCAACAGCGAAGACAGTTGCATGGCCTTACCGTACGTAATTTGGATCCCGTATACTGGACGTTATTTAGATCTAAAGCAGTAGTAATAGTGTGAACTATGCGACTGTAGAAGTTACAGTAGCTGGCTTACCCTATTTTGGCTCCCGTATTATAAATGTTTTTAACCCGGCTAAAATCCGATAACCTAAAATCATAAAAGGATTTCTTTACTTTACACTAAATATAACTTTGAATTGAATAAAGAGGGACATAAAATACTCTGGCATTATATCGATTTGCATTAGAAGAAAAATAACCATCACTTGTATTGTTTCAAATATTGCTGGCTATATACAAATAATTTTTATCTTTTTACAATGTTATTATAGATAAAACCTTCTGATCATAACATAACCTCGTGTTTTTTATGAAGTTCTTTTAAGAAATCATGTGCTTATTATAAATACATCTACTGTATGCCTGTAGCATCTATCTATCTATTCCTTATTTTAAGATAATTTTGTGATTATTACAATAGTTTAAATGCATTGAACTTCATTTAAACTAAACGATGTCGTAGACACTTATTTTTGATTCGAAATTGATTCGCCATAACATTTAATCAATATTTTTCCACTCTGGAAAGTTTTCACAAATAGGCAAGAATCTAAATATAAGCGTTTCATGGCTGAATACGATTTTGTTGCATGTAGAAAACAAAGTTTTATTATTCCTTATACGGAATTATTCAGCAGAGTCCATGCTCCAAATAACTTTAACGTCAACGATAGACTTTAAGCTCCCTAGCCAGCATTTTAGTTTATGTTCGCAAATAACAGCAAAGATGAAGTGATAATTTGACAGATTGATAGTTAATTTAGTTGCCTCCAATGTGATACTATACTTACGTGAAACTTTACTTCTACTTACGTTTACCTTTTGAGCTGATTTATAATGTAGTACCTGTAAGACCTGGAGCTTTGCTCGGTTCTTTTTTTTTTTGGTAAATCATGTATTTGGGAAATAAAAAAATTAAAAATAAAGAAAATGATCTGGTATAGGAAAAAAGTAAAAAAAAATAAAAATATAAAATAGTGTGTAAATGATCGTGATACGAACCGCGGCCGTCTGTTTTGGGGCCGCGTAACATATAACATTTATTTTTTGGGACGAAATTTACTGTCATATTCCAATGATATTTTTCATTCCCAGAAAACAGGGATAAAAGGACATTTTCTAAAAATGAAACCTAGCTAGATCGATTTTTCGCCCCCGACTACGCACATACTAAATTTCATGAAAATCGCTGGAGCCGTTTCCGAGATTCACGTACAAGAATTGCTCGTTACTACGTTAAAGGATAAGATATGCTTAAGCAAAAAATAAGTCCAAAGTTGAGTCTTGTTGTGCACGGATCGCATTTTTAAAATACTCTGTTTAACCGTTCGTTGTTTGTTTTTCCTTATAAAATAATGTTTTTTCTTTGTATTTCACGCAATTTTTTTAGTAATCGTCTTTGTTTATTCATAATAATCTTACCAAGGGTTTGTTTTAAAACAGCCTGGACAATTTTTCACTGAGTCTGCGTGAACTTCGTTGTTGTTTATTGCCTCTTGTACCAACCCTCGTAAGATTTTATAATGAATTTTGTTAAGATCAGTGTAATAAGAATTTGATAAGTGTTTAAGTGTTTTTTTGATACATAGCCTTAGA